CTCTCTCTCTCTCTCTCTCTCTCTCTCTCTCTCTCTCTCTCTCTCTCTCTCTCTCTCTCTCTCGCGCGCGCGCGCGCGCGCGCGCGCGCGTGCGCCCTCCCTTTCACACCGCTTAACAACGACAGATGTTGGATCGCCCTTTTCCCGCTCGCCCTCCTGCTGCTCCTCCCGCTCTTCCTCCTCCTCCCGCTGCTCCTCCTGCTCTTCCCCCCTTCCTCCCGCTCCTCCCGCGGGCCGCGCTCTCACCCGTCCGCAGTTTTCGCGGGGCAGTCTGCGCTGCTCGATTCTCGGTGCCGGCCCTCTGCCCGCTAGTGTCCCTCTCACCCTGCCGCACGAACCGACGCGCCCCCAACCGACGCGCCATCCTCGGTCCCCTGCGGCACCACACCCCCGCCTACCACCACCACCGTCATCGCCTGCGGCACCACACCCCCGCCTACCACCACCACTGTCGTCGCAACTATGGCCCCCGCCCCCGTGACAGACGCTGCCCTTTTTTCCCCTGCTCCGTTTCGCATCGGCGCGCGTCGTGGCTGGCCCCACCCGTCCCGCAGTTTTTCGTGGGCTCGTGACTGCGTGCGACGGCGGGACCGCTGTATCTTTTAGTTGTGTAAAGATAAACTGGTGGAGACCAGAGGGAGGAGAGAACCATAAACTGGTTGAGAAAAGGGGGAGCAGAGAAGTGTAAACATGCGGAGACGAGGGATTTTCTTTTCGTCATCGACGGACTGCATTCAGCCTTTTGTCAATTCTTGTGCCGTCGTGGTTATTGCATTTTTTTTTTTTTTTTCTTTTTTCTTTTTTCGAGAGGTGATTGCGTTTTCATTTCTGTTAATTGCCTTGTCAACCACCGTGTATGAATGGTGGTCATTGCTCTTTGTCGTGTCTGCAAATTGCCAGTTCAGTCAGTAGTGTGCTTATGAAATGAGTTTCTGCATTGCGGGTTTCCTTACTAAGGGCCTCGCCACATCACTCTCGAAATGTGCAAAATGAGAATGGACTTCCTGGAACACTCCTAACCATACTTCCACCAACCCAAGAGCGCTACCGGGAGCGCTCCGCCGGCCGACGTTTTGACGCGACGGCAGGCTCCTTGGTGAGGGTTGGAAACGAAGAGCGGTTGGGGCGCCATGACGGCTGCTTCGACGCGAGGACGAGAGTGCGGAGTGAGAGGTCAACACGCGGATGACGAGGCGGGAGAGGGATCATGGGGCATGGAGGAGCAGGCTAGTGGTGTTCGGGCGTTGCGGCAAGCTCTCTTGTTTGCTGTTTTTGTTATGTGCTTGCTTGCTTGAGTGGAAGAACAGGGGGGCAGCGTATCTCATATCAAGGTCTCGTTGGAGAGGAGGAATGCCGCGCGGGGGAGTAAGGGGAGGCAGGCAGGGTTTCATGGGCTAGAGGAAGAGTATTACAAGAAGGAATGGGAGGGGGAACGTGGGAGTAAGGTCTTCTGTAGGCGGGCGATGTCTGCGCCGATGATACCCCTTCATCTCTTTGGGCTACCTGCGAGGGGTGGCTGGGAGGCTTAGCAGTTTAGTCTTGTGACGTGGTATGGAGTGCTGTGATGGTAATCCTA